TTGCTATAGGTGTCTATGGAAAGGTTAGAAGTTTGTACTTCTTAGGTATTACACCTTCTCTGAATTTGATGGTTGCGCTTTTAATAAGTGATGCATTTATCAATGGCAACAGAATACCCCTGGCCCTGTATTTTTTTGCCTCATGTATGCCTCGATGCTGAAGTGTCCTTACTCATTTGAAGCTTTGGTTTATAGTTACAATCCGTTTTATTCTTCAGATTGTATCTAGAAGGCTCTGTATTTGTCATGCTTATCTTAATGCAATACCAATTTTCTTGCTTTCTTTCAGTGCTATATTTGCCTGTTTGGTACTGACTTGTGTTTTTCTTCTTTTAATGCCAGACTATGTACTTGAAGGAAGTAAAGGCACACCCTTTGAAGGTAAAGATCATACATACTATACCGCATTATCTACTACATCCAATTTTTGTTTTGTTGCTTATAATCTCTAACAATGTTTTTCATGTTTTGATTTCCCACCTGTAGGTGGATATTACTATAGGAAGCTCAAATTCCCACCAGATTATCCTTTTAAACCTCCAAGTATCTAGTGTGGAAACCTTTAATGTTGTTAATACATGATAAATGTTTGTGTTTTAATGGCATGTTGCTTCTTATTAAAGTGTAAAGATTGAAAACTGTAACTAGAAGATTTTTATTAGATGTAGATTAAAATGCTAATTCTTTGTTTATGTTTCTAATTTATTTAATTGTTCAGCATGACAACCCCTAGCGGCAGGTTTGCGCCACACAAAAGAATATGCCTGTCAATGAGTGACTGTAAGTTCTGAACTTGTTTGCGGATCATACCTTTTGTTATTACCTCTGAAATAATGCTCGTTATTACAATGCTTCGCAGTTCATCCTTAATCTTGGAATCCAATGTGGTCTGTTGCAAGGTACGCACATACCGATAACTGGCTACATGGTTGTAATGTGTTTTTTGAAGCTATAGTGCACAATTTTTCTGCTACTGTACAATGTACAGACTCTAATTTCTGCTAGTCAAATCACTACTTTGTGGTAATCCGCAATCATTTCAACTTCTGTTGTCATGAGATGGGACAACTGAAACTGATAGGCTAGCCTTAGGACGTTGATGACAATGTGGACTTGTGGTATGGTTTGGATCAGACTTTGAAATGGTTTGGACTTTGTTTTGCATGTGGATTTATGGATTTCTTAATGGACTATGTTATAATGATAGACTTCATAATAGACTATATTGTAATGATGGACTTTATAGTGCATAATTATGACTTGTGATGATGTTCTAAATAATAGTCTTGTGTTTGTGGATGTATATATGTATATTTGTGACGGTCAGATTCGAATTTAAATTATATATATATGCGGTCAGATTTGAATTTAAATTATTTATTTATTTTTGTTGAAAAATCCACTATAGGGGCGGTTCTTGATTGAACCGCCCTTACAAATACACACAGCAGGAGCGGCTGGTGATACAGCCGCCCTTACAGAAATCCACTACAGGGGCGGCTGATATTACCAGCCGCCCCTACAGAGGGCACTGTAGGAGCGGCTGAAAACACCAGCCGCTCCTACAGAGGGCACTGTAGGGGCGGCTGAAAACACCAGCCGCCCCTACAGAGGGCATTGCAGGGGCGGTCAGGAAACCGCCCCTACAGAGGCACCCTCTGTAGGAACACCCTGGAAAGGACGGCTGACGCAGCCGCCCCTACAGAGCCTCTAGAGCTGCCCCTACAGTTAAATTCTGTAGTAGTGGAGGACAACACCTATCACTATCGGATTCACATCTCGAGTAGGCCCTGTTGGCGTGTGAGCTAGTACATTGGAATGATATGTTGTTGGTCTGATAGTTTCTGCAACTAATAAATCGGTCGAAGTGATTTGTTGTGAGAGAAAAATATTGTTCTATGACTAATCAGTCAAGCTGATAAGTTCAAGCGAACAAGATTTGTGGCTCTATTTTTGCACATTTCTGTCGTGGCCGGTTTTGCTTTTGCTAATTTATGAAATGGACTTGTGACTGATAAGTCCAAGCGAACATATCTTTTCACATTCTGACGTGGCTAGTTCTCTAATTGGCTCTGTTTTTTTAATAAGGCCTTTAAATCCAGGGGTAAAGCTTAGAGGTGTCATACCAGGTGTCATGTAGAGGTGTCACCTGAAAGTGTTCGGATAGTAATAATAAAATAAATTGTGGCCCCCACACGCATTGCACTTATCGCAGTCGCGGACGAACACACGGAGCTATCAACATTCAACACTCAAAAGCCAAAGGCCCAAAGTCAACAACAGGGAGAGAGAGAAGTACAGAGGGAAACACAGACGATGAAGGTTGATGTGGTGGGGACGACGCTCATGGCGCCGAGCATCTCGGAGAGGAGTCCGGATTGGAGGAGCATATGATCATCAGTAGAGCCGATTAGAGTCGCTTGAACTTATCACCACTACTTTCAGCCATCAAACAGTGTTTTTTCTCACAACAAATCAGCAGCAGTAGCCGTTTTTTCAGCCAACCGAACAGAGCCCAAGGTTGTAGAAAATTTTTGCCATTTTATAACATGTAAAAAATAACATATAATAGGTGCTATAGGTAGATAGATAGATAGATAGATGGACGGATAGAGATATATTTGTCTGTTTGTTTCTGCATATACCGACCATAACAGTTTGGAATAAGGACGTGAAAAGAAAACAAAGTTCGAACTCAATCTGTCGTAACAGAAGATGTGAAACTGGTAAAAAGAAATATAAATAGGAACTCAGAACTTTCGAAAGTGATGAAACCACGAGAAAGGGCGTGGCTAGCGCCCGGACATCTAGATGGCCGCGCGCTCGAACCCCCACGCAGCCCGCCCATGTTCGCCTTTGCTCCGCCCACGAGTGCACTCCGCTCCTCTCTCTACGCTCGCCGGTCCGTCCCCTGACCCCCTCCTCTCTCTCCAACTCTACGCGCAGGCCACCCCCCATCCCCCGTCCCTAGCACCTTCGTCCGCCGGCCCCCAGCGTCCCCCCTTCCACCCACCCCCTCTCCCGCGTGCCCCGTTCGTCGGCCCCCGGCCGAACAACATAAAACATGAATGGAACGTTAGACTGAAAACAGATGAAACATTTAGAATATGCTCTTGCAACATATATGTGAAGCACATGAAACATCTAAAATAAAACACTTAGAAATTTGCAATATGAAATAACTTGCTGCAACATAAGACTGAAAACAATTGATACATTTAGAACATACCGTTGCAACATATGCAACATCCAAATGAAAAACGATTGCAACATAGTCTTGAAATAGATGAAACAATTTGGACAAATACTTGCAATATGCCTCTGAAACACTTCATATACAACATGTGCAACATCCCTTGATCTATTTTCGCAACATCAAGATGAAACAATTGTAATATACACCTGAAACGTATAAAACACTTAAATCATACATATGCAACATAGGGGATGGAAAGACCGGACCAGTCGATTCCGGCTGTCGGGGTCAGAGCCGACGGCGAGGGAGTGAGCGGCACATGTGTATGAGATGGCGCGTAGCACGGCCAGCGATGGGGCGTGCGGCGGTGGTGCACGGCGCGGTAGCTGATGAGCACACGGTGGGGATAGGGACGCGGATGAATGAGTGGCCACGCTGCTGCGTCGAGCGCTGGGTGGATAATGATGAAGGAGTAATGATTCATTTTTCTATTTATGAGAGAGATGGAGAGATAGGACCCCTCCTGAGGAGGCGCATTCGGGCACGAGTCACGGACGGATGACCGTGGCTTATCTTTATTGCCGTAACTCCAACCGCCGGACCAGCAACGTGAATTTGAAATTGGGGGAAAAATCGGAGTAGGAACTCGGACGTTCACACAAGCAACATTGGAAAAAAAAAACATAACAGGAACTCGGACGTCGGGACGTTGGAGGTGAAATCGAGGAAAATCTGAATAGAAATCGGATCGAACAAAATAAAATCGAAAAAACCAAAATAGCACTTCATCAGTTCCCCGCCATCGTAGTTGACGATGCCTCAATGCCTTGCAGCCGCACTCCGCTCAGGCTGTCAGGCAAGACGGTCAACGCTGCAGGCTGCAGCGCACTACGCTGGGCACTGGCGACCGGCAGCCGGTAGCGACGAGGTTCTGTAGGCGACGAGGCGCCTGAACTTATCAGCAATATACATCAGGCGGCTTGTCAGCCGTAAAAAATCAACAATCAAACAGCTCGTCGTTCCAGCGGCGGCTCTCTCCATCCGCAGCAAGATTCAACCAGCGAAGTATGTTCGTCGACCCTCGTCTCTTTCTTTCGCACTCTCATTCTCGATCAACCATGCGTCCACTGTCTGAGTACACACTACAATAGTTTTGTTTATTATATGGCCCTGTTCACTTCGTTGAAAAAACAAACCGAAACACTATTCCAACTGATTTATTAGAAGAGAAAAACATTGTTCCGTCTAAAAAAATAAACTGAAAAGTATGAATTATAAAACAAGCGAATATAGCCTATATGTTCTCTTATCTAATTTTTTTCTTTTCTAATCTTTGTTAGTACGAGTAGATGGACCCACGTGATGATTATTGAGTTATTTATATATGAACTATTGGTTTTATAAATATAGTAGCCGTATCCTCGTGTCACTGTCTTTTTTAGCAAATTGCATATCCACGTATCCGATACAAATCCTATCTGATACTCGTATCCCACACACGTATCCCTATGTGGGATAGAAAATTTCATATGGTGCGGTGCCTGTTGGTGTTCGAAACCAGAAACAGCACGGCGCAGCTGGACCACAGTCCACAGGCCACACGGCCCACAGGAACCGTACGCTGCCCTGCATCCGGCGCGGCCCATGACGCGACCTGTCCGGTCGTCCCCCGGTCCCCCTGCTATAAATCTCGGCCCCGCACTCACGACACTTGCAGTTATCGCAGCCGCCAGCCGCAGACGAACGGACACACAGAGCTATCAACATTCAACACTCGACAGCCAAGAGAGTAGAGTACAGGGAGATGAAGGTTGACGTGGTGGGGACGACGCTGGTGGCGCCGAGCGGGGACACGCCGCGCCGGGAGCTGTGGCTGTCGAACCTGGACCTGGCCGTGCCCAAGACGCACACGCCGCTCGTGTACTACTACCCGGCACCGGCGGCCGCCACGGACACGGATGATGGAGCGGCCTTCTTCGCGCCGGAGCGGCTGGAGGCGGCGCTGGCCAGGGCGCTGGTGCCGTTCTACCCGCTGGCGGGGAGGCTGGGCGTGGGCGAGGGCGGGCGCCTGCACATCGACTGCAACGCCCAGGGCGCGCTCTTCGTCGTCGCCAGGGCCGACTTCGCCGGCGAGGACGTGTTCGGTGACGACGGCTACGAGCCGTCGCCGGAGGTCAGGCGGATGTTCGTGCCGTTCGCGGCGTCCGGCGACCCGCCCTGCGTCATGTCCATGTTCCAGGTGAGCCGCACGCGCACATGCTCGTAATCTGTTCGCTGGTCTGGTTCTTCCACACCACCCGGCTGCTCCTCAGAATACTGTTCATCAAACAACCGCTACAGTATTTCCGTCGTATAAAACCAGCCGGTTTCGGACAACCGAACGGGAATGACGACTAAAGTTTACGATCATGCTTGGAACGCGTAGCTCTGCTGAAACCGAAACGTGAGGGATCAAAGCCATGCATCGTGTCATCCGTAGCTCTGCTTGGAAAAAAAAAACAAGGGGAACATGACATCCAGGTTAATTCACGTGAAATTACTTTAGGCGTGGCCGTCCCAAGTTTATTGGCCGCACCAAACGGTTCTTGCGAAGAATATCGCCATCGAGAAAGAAAACACATGTTGGACATTTTTCGATGAAATATCACTAGCGTGGCGACGCCTATCAAATCCGATGATACTTATCACAGAGAATAGAATAAATAAAGTGCGAAACTCTGCTGGCCGTCCCAAGTTTACAGAACCAAAGCTTCGAGAATATCGCCATCGAGAGAATAGACTTTTCCCCTGCGATGAGAATGAGATGCGAAAAGGATATATCCTGTGATCATGACAGCTAGCGTCTACTGTATTTTCTAAGCCACGGCAGGATCAGTGTGTGGGCAACCGCAAAACACGGGCGGCCGCTGTTGTATGTAATCGCATCAAATCTTTGGATTGTGGCTCGTACTAGGCATCAAACAATAGTTTTGACTCCCGGCGTCGTCGATGGTGTGTCGTCATGACAGTAGTGTCTGGATTATGAATACTTACTTATCTGGTTAATTATTTTGCAACTAGTTAACGGGAGGTCACGTCGTCCCATCCTGCAAGGCATCACCACTGTTGTCATTTTATTTGACTTTTCGACATTATTTCCATCAACAGTTAAAGCATTTTAAAACGAAAGGGACTGGAGTTCATTTAATTTGATACTGTACATACAGTACTGTAGTTCATGGCCCTGTTTCGTACTGGAGTTCAGGGTTGGTTTGGCTTATAAGTTATGGCTGAAAGTTCTATTGACTGATATGGTGCGAGAGAAAAATACTATTCATTGACTGATAAGTCATCGTTTATAAGCTAAATACAACCTAGCTAACAGGCTGCATGCAGTTTACTTTATTTTTCTTCACCGTGCCGGATGAACGATATGATTTGATTGACTGACAACGATATGATCACGCTGTTACCGAAATGAGTTTCACTGCCGTAACTTTACTTTGAACGACGATGCGTGCAGGTGACGTTCCTCAAGTGCGGCGGCGTGGTGCTGGGCACGGGCATCCACCACGTGACCATGGACGGCATGGGCGCGTTCCACTTCATCCAGACCTGGACCGGCGTGGCGCGGGGCCTCGACGCCGCCGACGCGTGCGGCCCGCTGCCGCCGTTCCACGACCGGACGCTCCTCCGCGCGCGCTCCCCTCCGACGCCGGCCTTCGACCACCCGGTCTACTCGCCGGCCCTGCTCAACGGCCGCCCCCGCCCCTTCGTCACCCGCGTGTACGCCGTCTCCCCGAAGCTCCTCGCCGACATCAAGTCCCGCTGCGCGCCGGGCGTGTCCACGTACTGCGCCGTCACCGCGCACCTGTGGCGCTGCATGTGCGTCGCGCGCGGGCTGGCGCCGGGCTCCGACACGCGGCTCCGCGTCCCCGCCAACGTCCGCCACCGCCTCCGGCCGCCGCTCCCGCGGAGCTACTTCGGCAACGCCATCGTGCGCGACCTCGTCGTCGCCCGGGTTGAGGACGTCCTGGCCCGCCCGCTCGGGTTCGTGGCGCAGGCCATCAGGGACGCCGTGGACCGCGTCGACGACGCCTACGTGCGCTCCGTCGTGGACTACCTGGAGGTGGAGTCGGAGAAGGGCTGCCAGGCGGCGCGCGGGCAGCTCATGCCGGAGTCCGACCTCTGGGTGGTCAGCTGGCTCGGGATGCCCATGTACGACGCCGACTTCGGCTGGGGCACGCCGCGGTTCGCCGCGCCGGCGCAGATGTTCGGCAGCGGCACGGCCTACGTGACGCAGCGCGCCAACAAGGATGACGGCATCGCCGTGCTCTTTGCGCTGGAGCCCGAGTACCTGCAGTGCTTCGCGAAGGTGTTCTATGGGGAGTGAGTCGTGAGAAACTGAGAATACTACACTTTACTAGTGCCATCCGCGTTTCGCCGTGAGCATCGAGTGTGATGACAGTGGCTTGGAGCCTGCTGGTGCGATGTATGTGTGCTGTGTGCATATAAAAAAAATCGCTCCGATTTTCTGTGTGCATCCAGTGTCCGCGTCGAACCGTGCGATTCGACGAAGACGAACAATAGCAGCGTTCGCTCTCTGCAGTGTGTACATCGCTTCGTGGGACCCAGATGGAACTAAAGAATTGTTTTCTTATCCAAGCAGTACGAAAATATTTGCTTAATGCCCATCGGTGCGAACCGTCTGCAGGATGCGATTTCAGTTCTGACAGCGAACGTCCGCATGCTCTAGTGTGCTCGGGGCTGGTTAAGATTGGAGTTACGAATTAGTATTTGGCACTGTAGTATTTTCGTTTGTATTTGATAATTATTGTTTAATTATGGTTTAATCAGGCTCAAAAGATTTGTCTCGTAATTTACAATTAAACTATGTAATTAGTTATTTTTTTATCTACATTTAATACTCTATACATGTATCCAAAAATTTGATGTGATGGAGAGAGAGTAAAAAAAAAACTTGCAATCTAAACGAGACCCTGGTTCGATTTTTTCTTCCCTCGGTTCGATTCCAGCATACACTCGGAGGTGAGAGCCACAGCTACGTTTCCTTCATGCACACCTGCACTAGCATGTTATTATTATATATACACTGAGGTGCACGTGAGCAGAGGTTGGGCTTGGGGCCACCGTCATCCAAATTGTTACCGTGCTACGTTGTCGAGTTCGCATGCCGCGTGCGAGCAGTGAGCATCCGTTGTAAAGAAATTTTTAGTGTCGTACGGCCCAATCGACGAGATGCGCAGCCCGCCCAGTACATGGCAAAGTAGCCCTCTAATACATGGGCCCTTCTTCTTTTCTTTCAGCCCAGTTTTCAAGTGTACAGCCCAAACGTTGTAGTTCCTTATTTACACTGTCCGTACCCAATTGGAATCGACGCCGTAGTTGTGCGTAGCGAGAGCGGCGAGACACTGACCCGGAACAAAATCAGGATCGTAGCGATGCCAGCACTCAGTCGCCGTGTGACGCTCCTTGAAGCAGACTTGGCACCGCGGACTGGGCTGGTTCATTTACCTGGGGGTGTTGAAGTTGTGGCTCCCCGTGGTGGAGCCTCCAGCGCCACGGGTACGGCCGCGCTGTCCGCCACTGCGCCCACGGAAGGCAGCGTTGGCCGACGAATTTGAGTAACCACCATCGTGAGTTCCTGGCGCTGCTCGTAGTTCGGCAGCAGGGCATACGAACTCCGTCACGGAGATTGATTAGAACCGAGCAAGCACCGAGGAAACAACAGAGTCGTACTCGGGTCCAACTGTCCAAGGCCCGCGAGGATTTACGAAACGAGTTCCTCGTCGTCGAGGACTTCCCTGGCTGCGACCATCTCATCACCGTAGAACTTCATCTTGTTGAAGTAATCGGTCACGGACATCTCGCGCTTCTTGGTGGTAGCGAGGGAGGTACGCGTGTTGACGGAGCGCGCCTGTGTTTGTGAGGCAAACGAGTTGCCCAAGGCACGCCACACCTGCGCCGAGGTCTGGTGTCTCCCAACGCCAATGAATACGTCGCGGGAGAGCGACGAAAAAATGTAGCTCAGGAGTTGTTGATCCACGGCTACGAACCGAACATATTAGTCGGGATTTGGCTTCTTGATGGTTTTGTCTGCCACTCTCTCCTCCACTTCCTTGGGTGGCGATTGAGCAGAACCATCAAGGAAACCTCCAAGAAGGGCACCTCGGATAGTCGGGTGGCAGCCTTCCACAGCATGTAATTGGAGTTGGTGAGTTTTTCAATAGTGGGGAGGTTGAGGGAAGTCGGCATGGGTGTGCTAGTGGAGGAAGAGGATGTCGACATGGATGATTTTGAGTAGGAGCTGGCTTTGGTACCATGTAAAAATAATAAGCGTTGTCACCTCCTTTCAGAGGCCGCGTCAATTTATTAATAGAGTCAAGAACAGCCCTTGACATGGCATTGCAAGACAAGACTCAATCTGAGATTAATTGATTATAATATCCTTCTATGGCTAAACAATATTGATATCTTCCTTCTAGGGCTAAACAGACCACCAATCAATCTCGGATCTTGTCCATGATTTGATACATGTCATACAAGGCACATTTTGTTGCACATATCATTAAGGTTTGCAGACACTAACAATTCATTTCAGTGGCGACGGCCGCGGATCCATGGCTGCAGAACATCTAGCAGAAACTTGTCCACCTGCCAGTATAGCCACCTCCTCCCGTTGCCCCACAGCAGCGTGGTCGCAAACACGATGACCAAGCCGGAAACAACCCCTGCCTCAACCGACAAAAATTCCCAGTTCAGCTCTTTAGAAGAGCCCGGTGTAGCAGCAGCAGATGGTGTGCGGTTCGGGTCACACAGTGGCAGTGGCTTCCCGCACAGCCCGTCGTTCCCCAGAAATGACGTCTCCGGGAACGTCAAGAACTGGCTGCACTGTGGTATCATCCCTGACAGATGATTGTAGGAAAGGTTGAGCACCTCGAAGAATGACATCAGTGCCATTGCTGGAGGGATCTCCCCGGAGAGTTGGTTGCGGGATAAATCAAGTGACTCCAGCTGCAGCATGTTTGCGATGCGGTTAGGGATCTCGCCGGTGAAGGAGTTCCTGGAGAGGTTGAGCCCCTTGAGAAACTTCAGGTCGCCGATCTCGTTGGGAATGAAACCCTGGAAGTTGTTGTTGGAGAGATCGAGGGACGTGAAGACTGAAAGTATCTGTACAAGAGTTGTTTCTTGCCCTTTGATCGTCACCGTGATTGATTCCCTGTAATAACTTGGAGATGATGCCGCTGAATTGATAATTCCAACATACATGCTGAGAGCTCCCGAAGAAACCACCATCATAGCTTTGAACTGCTCTAGGAATCGTGCAGGAATGCTACCGTTAAAAGAATTTGAAGAAAGGTCAAGAACTTGCAGCTCTGGGAAGAAGGGATGCATCTGTACGTTCATTCCATGGTAATCAATGGGACCATGAAACCTGAACAAGCACTTTCAACAAAGGAAGAACTCCCAGCCACTGTGGAAATGTATCCACGATCAGGTTATTTCCGAGGTCTAGGACTTGTAGCATGTGACAGTTAATCAGAGACACCGGCAATTTTCCCTCCAACTTATTGCTGTTGAGATCTATTATTTGAAGTGCACAATCGTTGCTGATGTCCTGAGGCAAGGATCCATGGAAATTGTTACCTCTTAAGTTCAGTATCTCAAGGCGCCTATTTTGTTCCAACAAACAAGGTGGTATTAATCCAGTGAAGTTGTTAAAAGAAAGGTCTAGAATCCCAATGTCAGTTGCATCGCAGATAAAATTGGAAACTTCTCCAGTAAGGTTATTGTGTGCCAATGACAAGGAAACAACAGAGCTAATGCGTGACCAAAACACGGGCATGATAGAAGAATCGAAATGGTTATTGGAGTAGTCCAATCGGTAAGTTCCCATTGGGGGTAGTGGGAGAGGTCCTTCAATCTTGTTGGAATGGAGATCTAGATCAAACCTATACACTGATACACTTGATAAATTTGTATCAATGCTGGTAAATAGATTATGAGACAGGTTGAGACTAAGAGAGAATTCTCCAATTCCCCATATCCAATCGGGCATGTGTCCACCATTATTGTTGTTTGAGAGGTCCAAATCGTAAATACTCCTCTGGTGCATCAAGAATTTTGGCACGTATGATAGGTTACATTATGCCAATCCCAACTCCCTGGTGGCCCCTGGATCTTCGGAATGGGTGAACCAATCACTCTCCGGTGTTGCCGACCACACACTATGGCTAGAGGTAGAAGAAGGGAGGAAAAACAGAGCATGCACACACACAGCACAAAGCACCAGCGTTAGCCGGAGCTCTACAGAGGAGATGGCAAAACTGAACTCGCTCTCTTTACTAACTCGCAACGGGAAGCTATATATACAACTCTACACATCTAATCCTAGTGCACAGACATGTCAGGCTGCCATGCTGTTACAATGACTAGATGTGACAGCAGGGCTGACTTTGGCGTCTGCCCTGCTTTGTAGCTACAATCTGGCAGAGAGCCTTTGGCCCGCTTGCTGCAGCCACTGCAGGGAAGGACAATAGATTACTTTTACAATTCTTCCCTTAATCCTGCTGCTAACCCTAGAACCTCCACCCATGTTTTTGAGGCGTCGCCTAATCGTCGCCTAGGCGCCAAGGCGTGCTCGAGGGCACAGGCGTGCCCTCGCCACGACCTCGGCGATGGCGCTCTTGCCTCAGCAGACAGGGCGTCGCCAGGCACGAATGGCGTCAGGCGGATGCCTAGAGCTCTCCAATCGACGCCATAATCGTCTAATTCGCAGTGGAGGGCGCGAATCGAGTGCGTGTCCGTGGGGAAATCGGACGCTTTGTGAGGCGAAGGGGGGCGAAATCGATCGGTTGGCGCTGAATTCGCGACTTCACGCACGTGAAATCGACCGCCGAGCCATTACCGCCAGGGGGGCGAGGGGAGACCGGAGAGAAAGAGAGAGCCAGCGCGATACCCCGCCCGCTCGCCGCTGTGGACAGCGCCACCACCTCGAGTCCACCGGGCCGGCCTCAACCAGAGAAGAAGCCGCCTCGAGGCCACCGAGCCCCCTCCAAGATTTGCCTCTGGTCATCTTGATGCCCCCGGCGCCCCCCGCCACTCTCTGCACGCTGAATATAGTAATGCCTCGTGATGCCCGCTTTCGCTTTTTGATCCGGAATATTGTATGCCTCGATTCTCGTGCTCGCTGACGTTGACCTCAATCGAATATTGTATGCTCATGTTGGATGCCCGTCCCTACCTCCTCCTTCTCTAATATTTATTCTCGACGACTCATTGCCCGCTCCGCTTTTGCAATGCTTGCTTTTTATATTATATGGGTACTCACATATACAAATGCCTGTTGCAAAGAGAGTGTTGTATCACACC